ATAATAAATACATCTTCTATAATAACAAGTTGAATGGTAGGCATAGCTACAAATAAATACTATATTATTATCATCAATAAATAGAAGTTTACATTGATCATACAATCCAGATTATAATAAACACGATATGCTATATCTTATTAGTAAACACTATAAATCTACCTCTTTTCTCAAGGTTACAAGCTGATAAATTTCTGGAGGTTTCTTTTTATTGGCTTTTTTAAAAATATTTTTTGAAAGTGATGTAATAAAAAAAAGGCTGGCTTTATTTATTGGAAAATCAAGTATTCTAGTATTATATAGATATTGTCTTAATTTGCAATACATGTTTTTAAATGCAGGATCATGATTCACTAAAAATTAGTAAATAAAAATAAATAAACCAATTTTATTAAACAATTAAATATTAAAATATTACTAATATTACTGATAACATAAGCCTGCTTTATAATACTATCAGTTATTACATTTGGTAAGGTATTTGAATATGTGTATTTTCTATATAATAATTGTTAAAATCTGGTAAGAATATCTTAATTATATCATAAAAAGGATGGTTATTATCCTTACAATAAAACAAGTCTGACAAAAATATTAAGGATGCTTTATTATAATTTTTCATTCCTATCTTAAAGCAAATATTTATATTCTAAAAATTGTTTCTACATATTTATCAAATGAGCTTGATCGAAATAGAACTGCATAAATATCAAAAACTGCTGAAACTAAGTTATTAAGTAAATCAATTGTAGTTCAGTACTCAATATCTTTACATGTTTGTCTAAATTTATCTATTACTTTTGTTTTAATCTTGATCCAACCTTCTCGTACAAGTTCTAACAAGAGATTTATTCTCTATAAACAGGACTTTTTTGTTAATACCTTATACTTGTCAAATATAAAATAAAATAGGTTTTCAAAAAAGGATGGTACATTAATAAAACCTGTTCGTGACTATTTAATGACATATAAAGAAAATTTAAAATAGGTAAAAATGCTTCAACTTTATAAAATAACCCTTCTGTATATAATGCCTTTCAAATAAATATCTGGTCTGATCAATTTGCAATAATTGGTAATCCAAATGCTTTGCTTTGTCATTTATAGATAGAATAAGTTTTAAAGCATTAACATAATCCTGAACTGAATGTAAATATTGTTTCTTAAATCCAACTAATTAAAGACTCTTCATAAATTGCTCATCTTTTCGTTTCATAATATTATCATTGTAAATATGTTATCAATATTTTAATTTAATTGTTTTTGTGAAACCCAAAAAATTTGATGATCTAAATATGAGGTATTAAATACTTTACTATATTTTCTAATTAAATACCAGTTAATAATTCATGCTTCTACATTTAATGGATTATGAATTAATATACCATTAAAAATAAGTGATACAAATTAGGAATCTATAACAGGTTTTGCTACATATAGTGTTTTGTTACTAAAGTTAAAACTGTATCTAGTCTGTGAAGTTCATGAATTGCATAATAATCATCTATGTTGTAAACATAAAACACATCTCTTTAGTAAAAAAATAATTAGATCAGACATATATATTATATGTATTCTATTATTAATTTTAATTAAAGACATACATTTTTTATAAAGTATTGTTCATCCTTTAATGCATATTCTTTTTGGACCTTTTTGCGAAATCTATTCACTGTTTTGGCATATGCTGAGTACCTAAGGCTCAACATTATATTATTAGCTTCTTATGTTGCATCTGATACCAATAAATATAATCTAACTTCTAATTTATGTTAATTAACAAATTTATTCTGCAAGCTTGCTATTTTATAATACAGCCTAACAATAGATTTTTTTGCTACATTTATGTTGTATATAGAATGTTCTTTAGGAATGACCAAATTTATCATATAACTAAAAAAATCCTTGAGTTGAGGATTAGCATCTTCAATCATATACTTAAATCTTAACGGATCCAATTCTAAATTTGCATATTTTTGGTATTATTGATGATAAAGTACTTTTGTTAATATTTGAATTTTAAAGCAAATATGAAATCTTAAAGTTTTAAGTTAATAAAGATATTTATATAAAAGCACTAGACTAGAAGTATAACTAAATACTTGCCTATATTATCATTAGGTCTGATATTATTATTATTAGGTTCTATTGATTCTAATACTCCTCTTTTTTTTTGAATTGCTAGTCTTTTTTGATATATTTTGGTTTTCTTCTTTGTTGATTCCTATCAGACTCTAGTATAATGCAATGATATAGGTGATATAGTTGTTTTCCATTTTAAGATAAGGGTACATTTGTAGCATATTATTCTTATGATATTTATTATATACAAATTTCATAATAAGACGAAACTTAATATTCATATGTATACATTTCATAATAGAGCAAGATCCAAGGTTTTTAATTTTATTCATATTTCATATTGTGTAAAAACTTATTAAAAGGATTCAAAAAAAATTGCATATGTAACTCGTATGCAACTCATATAGAGAGTAGTCAAATTTAATTTAACTAATCAAGTTAGTGATTAATTATCAAATGGTGGTCAATCATAAAGAAATTCATTCATACTTCCTGATGCATATGTATTTCTGCCTAAAAAGAGGATTGAGACTAAAAAACCTAAAATAGGATTGGATTTACCTCATTATATCCTAGTCTCATCATGACTTACAACCTCTCTCTAGAAAAAATGATATTAACTAATAAAAAGGCTAATAATATGCAAAAAATAGAAACATCTTACATAAGATTGGGTTCTCATTTAATGAGCACATCCTCTACACATAGTGTGTAAGATATGATAATTAATTTGAGAAGAAGGATTTATATCCTGTTATGTTAGAAGATTTGTTCAATAAGAGAATAGAGCTTAAAATACAACTTGACATAATGACATTGTGTGTCTCTCTGGTTTATAAAATCAATGTCAATTTTTTCTACTATACTAGAAGACTTTCTAAGACCTTCAGCTTCTTAATTCTTTATTAACTTTTTAGGTATATTTATTAAGTCTAACAAAATAATATATATCAGAAATTGATTCTGCGTAATTTAGCTTATTATTTAGCATATTGATCATTTAAATCTAACCAAAATAAAGTCTAACTGTCTTAATTATTCCATAAATAAGTCTAACCAAAAAATGTGTATAACAGAAATAGTTTCAGGTGTGTTAGCTCATTAAATGGCATATCAAATAAATAAGTTTAACGAAAAATTGAAAATAAGTTTAACTGTCCTAATTCCTCTATCATAAGTCTAATGAAAATATGTATGCCATATTCTATATCTATATGTATTAGCTTATTAAATTAATAAGTCTAACGAAGATTTGTCCTAATTTCCCCAGTATAAGTCTAATAAAAATTGTGAATAAAGAACTGGTTTTACGCAGCCTAGCTCTGTAACTAGCATGTTTTATATAAAAGTCTAATGAAAATAACTTCTGTAAAAATCCAGAAAAATTTGTGGAATTGACTTAACTTTTCCTTAGTCAAGAACAGGTTTTGCACAGGATAGCTTAATAAATAGCATATAAATTTAACAAAAAAATTTAAGTCTAATGATTTCACCCTATCGGAAAAATTTATTTGTCTAACGAAAAAATCAATATCCCTACTGTAAAAATCCAGAAAAAATCCATAGAATTGTTCCAACTTTTCCTTAGTCAAGAACGGATTCTGTATAAGCTGGCTTATCAATTAGCATATTAATCATAAAAGTTTAACGAAAAAATATAAGAATCAAGTTTAATGAAAATTTAGCAAATATCTATTGAATATTGTGTTTAAAATTCTGGCTAAGATTTAGGTAAAGAGTTAGCCAAAATAATCTTTCCATTTATTTTAGCCGACATCTATCACAGTATTTTCTCTCTTCCATTTTGATCAGATAGAGGCATTCGCTACAAAGAGTAATATTAAGATTTACAAGCATATTTCTATGGGTAACTATTATTTGCTCATAAGTTTCTTTTTGCATCTATGATCGAAGCTTGTCATAAAACTGAATAATATAATAGCCTCAGATATGATTTGGGTATCGGCCACAAGTAGAAGCAGTTGGCTTACCACAATTAGAATATGATATCCATTTTTTGATTTCCAATGAAATCAGCATCCTTCAGATCTAATACAAGTTTTCTTACAAATTTTTCCAGTATTGCAAAGAACTGGGCAGGAATATTCACCAATCATCCTATTTTTTATCACTAAATTTCAAAAAAGATTAATAATAATTAGTTAATACTTCAGTTTCGTGATAGCCTAAAACCATTTTGGCAAGCCTGCAAATAACTCTATGATCGAAAAGTGAAAGAATAGGAAATAATTAATTAAAGAAAAAATTTATAAGCAAGTAATAGCGCATCGGTTAGAGCTAACTATATACCAAATGTCAGATGCATATCTTGATTATATCAAAGAAATAAGTATAGAGATAGCTGATTTCAATCCAATTGGTCCTACTGCCCATATACCTTTACCTGAAACTTTGCCAAAACGTAATAATGAAATTATTAATATTCAAAATAATGATGACTGATGTTTTAGCTGGAGTGTCCTAGGAGCTTTGCATCTGATTAAAGTTCATCCAGAGAGAAATCCACATCATCTATATGGCAGTTTTATGGAGAAACTCAACATGAAAGACATCCAAGTACCAGTGCCTATTTTGACACCAGTATATCGCAAATTTGAGGAAAATAATCCCGATATCAGCCTATGTGTCTATGATTGGCATAACCAGAACAAATGTCTAGACTTTCATTATGTTTCAGAGAGAAGGAGAGATGAATATAGGCCTATAAATCTTTTAGTAATCACAGAAGAGGATAGAAGCTACTACTGTATTATTAAAGACCTTCACAAGTTAGTGTACAATCATAGCAAGTATAAAGGACAAAAATACATCTGCCGATATTATCTTCATGTATACTCTACAGAAATAAGATATAATGAACATTTGCCAAAATGCAAAGGTCTAAATAATGCCTCCTAATGATCACAAATGCTGTGAAGAATAGAAATGTCAAAGCTTTCTATAATCATAAATGCATGCAACCAAATCTATATCGAATAATCTGGGATCTTGAAATGCTAATCAAAAAGCTGACTGCAGAAGAGAAAACAAAGTTAACTTCTACTGAAAGGATGCAGAAGTATAAACTATGTGGGTACTGCTATGCGGTTATTCGTATAAATAATTCACTTAACTATAAAATCATAAATCACGATTTATATAGAGGATCTGATACGCTAGAAAGATTTGTTCTCAAAATCGAAGAGAAACACCTAGCTATCCAAGAAGATTTATCTGCACTAGCTGAAACGATAATGACACCAGAAGACTTGAAGGCGTATAATGAAGTGACCAAATGCTAGATTTGCAAGGGACTTTTCTTAAAACTAGCACAGATGTAATACAAAAACTCAAAAAAGCAAAGCATAATTTATTAGAAATTAAAGAATGGGAATTATTATGGAAAAGGAACATCCTGAAAAGAAAGAGGCACAGAAAAGATACTGAGAAGCTTTAAGTACACTTAATCAAAAAGTAAAAGATCATGATTATATAAATGGAAACTACCGAGGCCCAGCTCATGACTCTTGTAATAAAAAGTTATGCATAGGTTTTTTCGAAACCAAAATGCCACTTATCTGTTATAATTTCTGGGGTATGACTCTCATCCGCTTATGAAAGTTGTGAGCAAGTTCACAGCTGATAAGCTAAATTGTATCCCAGAGAATATAGGAAAGTACAAAGTCATAGACGTTATCACCGGGAATAATCTTCTCTGATTACTTTATGTAATTTATCTAAGTTCCTTTACTGCGGTAAGTAACTTCCTTATCGTTGGACTTTACAACCTTAGGGAATCTTACGTCCTACAGGTATCCGAAGTGCCTAGGAATTACTTCACTTGATTTACGAGCTTAAGGGTTTAGGGACTTAGGAAATTTAGAGAATTTATATATTCTAAGTGACGAACTCAATCGCAAGTTAGTGTAG